TCCCCAACGCTGTTCCCCACCCCCAATTCCCCAATTTAAAAAAAAGAAAAAAAAAAAAGAATCATGCACTCTAACCACTCAGCCATCTGGCCGCCTGTTGGCAGCTCACGGCAGCTCAGCTCAAGGTGCCATGTTCAATCTTAGTTGCGGGGGCGGGGAGGGGCGCACAGCCCACCATTCCATACAGGAGTCGAACTGGCAACTTGTTAGGAGCATGTGTTCACCAGCTGAGGTATCCTGCCACTTGTTGGCAGCTCAGCGGCAGCACAGCTCAGGAGCAGCTCAGTAGCCCATCGTAGCCCATGTGGGAATTGCATCTATGACCCTGTTGCTTAGAGCTTGTGCTCTTAACCAACTGAGCCACTAGGCCAGCCCCAAGCTTAGTTTCTTTTGATTAGTTATTTCCCTATCTGCCCAAAGTAAGTGCATCTCACCTCATTACTAGGTCAGCTCTCAAGGGACAAGTTGGCTGAGGCCTTTCTGCCATACCACTTAAACCAACCCAGCCAAGAGAACCCTTACTTAGTTAATCCTCAGACGTCTACCTCCCATATCCTCTACTTTCTGGGACTAAGTCTCACTTTTCTGGCAGAGGAAAAGAATAAATCAGAGACAGAGTCACAGAGAGACTATCAGAAAGATTCAGACAAGAGATCAATGAGAAGCAGCAGAAACTATAAAACATCAACATTTTATTTGCAAGTTAGCCACATAGTGGTTAGGAATACGCTGGGCCAGAAGACCTGCTTTTGAGTTCCAGCTGTGTCACTATTTCACTATGTGAATTAATATCCATAAGCCTTGATTTCTACATTTGTAAAGGTCAAAATATCTACCATACATGGTAAGTATTTAGCACATTACAAATAATTCCTCAACAAAGCTGGCTATTAGAAATCATCACCAGCATTATTAAGTGGTGATGTGTTGCCACTGTTCATATGGCTACTGTACTGCAAAAAAAAAAGTTAAAAGTTATTAGCAATATAAGGCATATAATTACACCAAGGCACATAAAAGGACAAAGACATCAGAATGTGAAGATGGAATGTAAAAGAGTAACATGTTTCCTCCAAAGGATAAATAGAAATTGTATGATGGATGAATGGAGGGTATAGTCCTGTGAGCTGCATGTTCAAATTGGATGGAATCTTCTACTCTCCTTATGCTAGTTTAGAAGACTTTCCCTAGGAAATTGGCTCAATCTATAAAGTAAATCAGTATTTACTGAAAATTTACCATGTGCCTAAGACTGCAATAAATACGAGTAATTGAAAAAAATTAAGGATAAGATAATAATCTCCGGGCGGCCGGTTAACTCAGGTGGTTAGAGCGCAGTGCTCATAAAACCAAGGTTGCCGGTTTGATCCCCACATGGGCCACTGAGTTGCGCCCTCCACAACTAGATTGAAACAACAACTACTTGACTTGGAGCTGACGGATCCTGGAAAAACACACCATTCCCCAATAGAATTAAAAAAATAAGATATAATCTCTAACCTCAAAAACTCTACAATCTCATTGATAAGGTTATGAATACAATCTAAAATAAATGATAAAATGCTACAATTCCGATAAATGTACTAAGTGCCCACTGAAGGGAAAGAGCCCATGGGTTGGAGTGCTTGGTGAGACATTCATGGAACTAGGGTTGAAGTGGGGTGGGTGAAGCGCGCAGAACGTTAGCTAAGTAAACGATATTTGAAAGAGCAAAGGACTAGGAGTTGGGAGCATTCCAAGGATGCCACGCTAGAGATATTTTGGTAATAGGATCATAGAAAATCAATTCAACTGTTACTGAATGTCTACTATAGGTCTGGTAATGTGTTAGATGCTGAGGTACAGAAAAGAACAAGATAATCTGTTCTCAAAGAACTCAGTATCCTGATGGGAAACTAGGAAAAGAGAAACACATGAAAAATCAGTTGTCACACAGCAATGTGGTCCTTCCAAGAGGGAGTTATGGAGCACTGGGACGGCAGACACTGGACAGGGCTTTTATGTAGCAGGGCAAGGTCTTCTGCGTGAATGATTTTCTAGCGCTCAGCGCCTCTCTGCCCCTGTTCATCTACCCTCAGCGGGGAGGACTGGCATCTAAATATGATTTAGGCCAGGATATGCCTTTAGGGGTTAACACTTGCGCCTAGGCCTGAAGGATTACGTAGGTGAAGGATTAAGAAGTGACTGGGGAGGCGAAGGCAACCTTGACAGAAGGAATAAAAAAAATCATGGCACAGCGGCATGAGGGCCTGACGCAGTTTAGGAAAGCTATGAAGATTCCCTGTCCTTTCCATCCCTCCACCTAGGGTTGCCTAGTTACATTCGAATTTAGATAAATAGCTAATAATTTCAAAATATGTTTAAGTATGTCCCAAATACTGCATGGGACGTTCACGCTCTGGGCTCCCTTCAACTCATCCCTAGCCCGCCCAGGGGCCCACAAATCCCAGGGATTACCGGCGAGCTGGCGGAGTAAAGCATGGGAAACTTATCACAGGTTTAGTTTTCCTTCCCTCTTACATTATTCACGCTTTGGTCTCCTGCCCATGCCTGAGGGACAGATCTCGCAGCTTGCTCCGTTACAGGGGTCTAGCTACGCCAACCGGAGTTGCGGGGAAGTGGAAAAACGCGTTCACTCACACTAGAAACCCCGTCTCTGCTCCGTAACACGCCCGCCCCTGAGGGATTTCCGGCAAGCGGAAGTTGCCTGTCCCAAGGACCGGAAGTCCCGCCCCCTCCGGGAAAGACGCGAAAGCGAGGCAGCCAATCCGGAGGAAGGTAGATCTCTGGCTGGGGTAACAGAAACCCGCGTGGCGCCGGCGAGCAGAAGCGGCGCGGTGGCGGGGGCTTCAGGCAGTCCCGGCAGTTGTTTCGGTTGACAGCGTGACTGGTGGGAGATGCGCCCGCCACCTGAGGCGAGGAGCCAGAGCGAGAGTTAGCGTTTGGAAGGCAGTTTGGTGCTGGGGCTCAGCTGCAGTCGAGCAGTCAGATCATGGGCCCGACCAACCCCTGGGGAGAATGGTTCCTGAGCCTGCGGGTGCCCCCCGTCGGAGTGTTTGGTGTGGCCTTCCTTACCCGAGTCGCCCTGGTTTTCTACGGGGTCTTCCAGGACCGGACCCTGCTCGTGAGGTACACAGACATCGACTACCAGGTCTTCACGGACGCCGCGCGTTTCGTCACGGAAGGACGCTCCCCTTATCTGCGGGCCACCTACCGTTACACTCCATTGTTAGGGTGGCTCCTCACTCCCAACATCTACCTCAGCGAACTCTTTGGGAAGTTCGTCTTCATCAGCTGCGACCTCCTCACCGCTTTCCTTTTATACCGCCTGCTGCTGCTGAAGGGGCTGGGCCGACGCCAGGCTTGCGGTTACTGTGTGTTTTGGCTTCTTAACCCCCTCCCTATGGCGGTATCCAGCCGAGGCAATGCGGACTCGATCATCGCTTCCCTGGTGATTATGGCCCTGTACCTAATAGAAAAAAGACGCGTCGCGTGTGCCGCTGTGTTCTACGGTTTCGCAGTGCATATGAAGATGTACCCGGTCACCTACGTCCTACCCATAGCCCTGCACTTGCTTCCAGAACGCGACGATGACCAAAGCCTCTGCCAATCCCGGTGTTCGTTCCAGGCTCGTTTTTACGAATTCCTGAAGCGGCTGTGTAATCGGGCTGTGCTGCTCTTTGTAGCAGTGGCTGGACTAACGTTTTTTGCCCTGAGCGCCGGTTTTTACTATAAATACGGTTGGGAATTTTTGGAGCACACCTACCTTTATCACCTGACGAGGCGGGATATCCGTCACAACTTTTCGCCATACTTCTACATGCTGTATTTGACCGCAGAGAGCAAATGGAGTTTTTCCCTGGGAATTGCGGCCTTCCTGCCACAGTTCATCTTGCTTTCAGCAGTGTCTTTCGCGTATCATAGAGACCTTGTTTTTTGTTGTTTTCTTCATACCTCCATTTTCGTGACGTTTAACAAAGTCTGCACCTCCCAGTACTTTCTTTGGTACCTCTGCCTACTGCCCCTTGTGATGCCACTAGTGAGAATGCCTTGGAAAAGAGCTTTAGTTCTCCTAATGTTATGGTTTATAGGGCAGGTCTTATGGCTGGCTCCTGCATATGTTCTTGAGTTTAAAGGAAAGAACACCTTTCTTTTTATCTGGTTAGCTGGTTTGTTCTTTCTTCTTATCAATTGCTCTATTCTAATTCAAATTATTTCCCATTACAAGGAGGAATCCCTGACAGAGAGACTCAAATATGACTAATATATGCTCCAGTTCTTCTGCCACTTCTGTTTACATTCTGACTGTTCTGAATGAACCAGAAAAGAGCTTCAGAAAAATTTTCAAACATCCTAAGTACTGCTAGTGAAAGTTCAGTTTGGAGCATAAAACCCTGTTCCAACAGAAATTAAAATGTAATCATGTTTCATGCATTTGTTTTATAACCATTTACTCCCAGCGGTATTAGACTGACATTTAGTTTTGTACAAAGAGGATTAAATTTAAATTAACCCATCTTTAAATTTGAGTTATTATATATTTTAAAATAGCCTCTTGCTTTTGATGTTTGAGGTCTGCAAACTATTAGGACATTTTAGTGTTCTCTTATACTCCTTTGTTTTTAATTTTCTGATTACTAAAACAATATTTTTCATCTAAAATTTAACTTAATATCAAGTGTTATTTGTATTGTAAAAATGAACATTGGATTTTAGGTGATAAAAAAATTGTTAGTAAGGCATTTCCCGGCTTAAAAGTACCTCACTTATGAAAATTCCATGATAGAAATGGAGACCCTGCATGGGAGGCTCCTGGAAAGCATAAGAAGCATCCTAAATATCCGTTAGCCTTCTAGACCAGGAAATTGAGGGAGAAGTTGTGGAAATGAGGCTTTGCAGATCCATTTCCCTTATTACTTTAATATTTCTGGGGGAAAAGGCTTTCTGAGTTTCAACCAAGCAACCTAAAAAAAAAAGTCCTTTTTTTTTTTAGCATAGCCCATTAGGTTGGGGACACCCTAACACTAATCTGCAGTAGCAATGTTATGAGTTTGATTTTATGGTTGTGATTTTAAAAGATGAGTAATTTAACAACATTGTTCTTTCACAGTAAAAAAAGTGTATTTTATGTCAGGTCAGGCCTAAAAAAGCCTTTGAGAACAAGATGTCTGTAGGCTGGTCATAATTAAGAATGCCTATTATTGGCGGCATTTTGATGGATATCTTTGGGACGTGCCATTTCATTAGAAAGAAGGGAAGAATGGGTGGCTTTGCATGGGTTGCTATTTGGTTGAAAATAGCAGAGACAATTAATTGTTGAGGACAATGACTTTTTTTTTATAAATTGGGGAATTGGGGGAGGGGAACAGTGTTGGGGAATTGGGGAGGGGGACCAGCCAACTTGTTGTTCTTCCATCTTAATTGTGGAGGGTGCCGGTCGCCATCTGGCTGCCTCTCGGCAGCTCGTGGCCTCTAAGCTGTGTTACAGTCTTAGTTGTGGGTGGGTGTAGCCACCATCCCATGCGGGAGTCCAACCAGCAGCCTTGTTGTTCAGGGTGCACGCTCTATCCACTGAGCCATTCGGGTGACAGCTCAGCTCAAGGTGCTGAGTTCAGTCTTAGTTGCAGGCAGGCATAGCCTACCATTGAACAGGCAGTCTTGTTAGGAGCACATGCTCTCACCAGCTGAGCCATCCGCTCAGTTTGGGCGTAGTGTCACTGGCCCATGTGGGAATCGAACCTGCGGCCCTGTTACTAAGACTCGCGCTCTTAAGCTAACTCTTAACCAACTGAGCCACTTGGTCGGCCCCGACCATCACCTGTCTTATAACACCTAGCCTCATAGCCCCCATTAGGTATTATCCTGAGGACTGTATATATATAGCTGTTCACTAGTGGCCTTTCAGCCTTGGCATTCTTACCTTTTTTTTTTTTTTTTTATTCTTTCATATTAGTAATTAAAAACTGTTTTTTGGTAGAACTGGCAGGGCAAAGAGTGGGAAACAAATAGAATTCCAACATCCCGATATAATTGTCTTTTTGTTATACCCGACTATTTTTAATTAATAGTCATAAGTGTATTTACTTATCAATTTCTTTATATTTTTACTTTAACATTTTATGTTGTGACTTACTCTTCATACTTACATTAAATTGCTGAATAATATTTCATCACATGGATGTTTACCTTGTAAATGCATCATTTTCCCACTGTTAGACCTTTAAGATTGCTTCTCATTTTTAATATTGTAAGACTAAACATTTTCCATGTTTTAGATCATTCCCTTAAACATTGTTAGAAATCAGTCAAGTTCTGTTGGGGGTCTTTGGAGGGAACTTCAACTCCAGATCCTGCCCTGCAAGAAATTCTCTACTAAAGAACTGCAGTCGTTTCTTAAAAGATGCAGCATATTTTGCAAAAAATTTAGTAAATTAACTCAAATAATTTTATTTGGTCTCTTGGGGCTTTTTGTTTTTTGGTTTGTAAAATCTCTTTGTCTTCTCATTTGCATTTTTTTCTTTCTTTATTGGTTCTTTAATCACACTTTAAAATTGTATTGCACTATGGCTTATTTCCTACATAATTGTTTTTGTTCTTATACCACCCCTTAAGATCAATATACCCATTTAACAGATAAGCATTGATTATAGCATATGAGGATTGGTTCCCAAGATAGTCTGTATTCTAAACAGAGGGGACTACATAACTTATTTTCTTTTGTAGTTGCCTTAATGTCTTCTAAATGTGGTTCCTAAATATCCCTAGATAAATTCCCTGGATTAGGTTTATTGGAAAGGTACTTCCCTTACCCCCACACAAAAGAATCTCTTTCTTAAACCCATAGATTTTAGTTGCTAACTTCTTACCGTCTGGCTGAATGACTCTTAAGTGGCATAGTTTCAAAAATTTTGTAGGAGGGCGGCCAGGTGTCTCAGTTGGTTAGAGCATGTGCTCTTAGCAAGAAGGTTGCTGGTTCGATTCCTGCATGGGATGGTGGGCTGCACCCCCGCAACTAAGATTGAAGGACAACAACTTGACTTGGAGCTGATGGGTCCTGGAAAAAACATCGTTCCCCAAAAAAACACATTGTTCCCAATAAAGTTTTAAAAAAAATGTTTTGTAGGACTTGTCTTTTAACTAATTGACTTATGGCTTAATATGGAATATTTTGTTATTTCCCCATCAGCTGTTTCTGCACTAATCCCCCCACTTCAACCATCTGAACAATGAGTGGAAAAAGGAAAGTTTCATATAGGATAGTCCCTAAATGCAACCTCTTCCCCCCACCCCCAAAACTTTATTATGAACAATATTAAACATTACCCATATACCTACCATCTAAGTTCAACAATTAACATTTTGCCATATTTGCTTTATATGTATTTATATATATTTTTTTCTGAACCATGTGAAGTTGCAAACATCATTGAACTTCACCACTAAATACATCAGCATGTATCTCCTAGAAATATTCTTACAAATCTATAATATTGTTGTCTAATACAATTTAACATCCTGTTCAGTTTCAAAGTCCTCCATTTATTTTGTGTTTATCTTAACAGATATTCTTGAATCTCAAAGATTCCCTGTAAGAAAGCAATGCAGATAATCCATAATTAAGAAGCTTGGATCCTTCCCTGGCTTTTTAAACAAAGAACGGGATTTACCTTCCATCAAGTTGAACAAATCATTTTTTTGTACAAGTCTTTTTGTATCTCTTCTAAGAAAACACATGATAGTAATCACCCCTAAGAAGTTTTCCAGATAAAAGTTATATGTGTTTGGATTTCTAATATCCATGCCCTACCCCCAACAATAACTGATGAACTGATTTTACATCTTGATGGTAAGTTCTGGCTTTTCATGGTTAACTGATTTGGGGGTAATTTTCACAGCAACACATTAGAATTGGTATTCATACTCATAGATGAACAAAAAGCTCAAAGATTAAATGACTTACTAATAAGTAATAGGACTAGAATCTGAAGTAAGTTTTTTCCTGACTTAACATCATACTCTTTCCACCATATTATGTTTTGGACTTTTTCAAAGTGCCCAGACCCAACAGATGTAGATTGCTGCAAAATAAGTGGAACGCAACACCAACTTTTTTTTTTAAGATTTTGTTGGTGAATTGGGGGAGGGAACAACGTTGGGGAATCAGGGAAGGGGGACAGACAAGTTGTTGTCCTTTTGTTCTTCAGTCTAGTTGTGGAGGATGTTGCTTCACTGGCCTGTGTTGGTATTTTGATCATTGCGCTCTTCCCAACTGAGGCAGATCAGTCACTGGCCACTGGACGGCAGCTCACAGCGGCTCATGGCAGCACATGGTAGCTTACGGCAGCCCACTGCAGCCCCACTGCCTATGCTGTCCCTGGCCACTCATTGCAGCCCAGCTCCAGGATGAGCTATTGCTCACCATCTTAGCTGTAGAAGGTGCAGCGTCACTGGCCCATGTGGGATTTGAACTGGCAGCCCTGCTGCTCAGAGCTCACACTCCCAAGCCAACTCTTAACCAACGAGCCACTCAGCCGTCCCCTCAACATCAACTTTTAACAAAGGTCTTGCCAACCAAATTGCCCTTCCTTATCTTTTAGGTATTTACTTGAGAGGCAGTTTTCTTGCAGTTATACAAAAGTTTCTGTCTTTCCCAAACTTTTCAATAATTACAAATCTTTAATAACTCCCTCCCACATCCAGACCCTCTCACCAAACTATAAGTTCTTTGTTACTGCTGACTTCATAATGCCCTTTCCCTCCATTGCCTGGTCTAAGTAATTGATTTGCTGAACCACATGTTAGCTCAACTTATTATTTGTAAGTCAAACTATGGAAATAATGTGACCATAATTTCCAAAAGGTAAATGGTCATTTTAAAATTTCTCCTGCTCTACAATGTATAGTCTGCACTGTGCATTCATACAGGTATAATTCATGACTTAGGCTGATAGCATAGCATAAGAGAGCTCAGATTCAGATAGCTTAGATTCAAATCCCAGTGTGTGACTTTGGGCAAGATTCTTTCATCTAGATAAATTAGTTTTCTGTCTATGAAATGGGGATGAAAATATAATCCTCATAGTATTGTTTATAAGGATTAAATGAGTTAATACACCCGGAGGGCTTATTCTGGTACAGAACAAGTTGTTCCCCATCACCTCAACATTTTTTTTAAAAGATTTTATTGGGGAACTGGGGGAAGAGAACAGTGTTGGGGAATTGGGGAAGGGGAACAGCCAAGCTATTGTCCTTCAATCTTAGTTGTGGAGGGCGCAAAAAGCTCAGCTCCAAGTCCAGTCGCACCGCTCAGCTCAAGGTGCTGTGTTCAATTAGTTGCGGGTGGGCATAGCCACCATCCCACGCAAGAGTCGAACCAGCAGCCTTGTTAAGAGCACGCGCTCTATCCGCTGAGCCACCCGGGCGGCAGCTCAGCTAAGGTGCCGAGTTCAGACTTTAGTTGCAGGCAGGAGTAGTCCACCATCTTGAACAAGCAGCTTTGTTGTTAGGAGCATGTGCTCTCACCAGCAGAGCCATCCTGCCACCTGTTGGCAGCTCAGTGGCAGCTGAGCTCTGGCGCAGCTCACTGGTCCATGTGGGAGTCAAACTGGTGACCCTGTTGCTCAGAGCTCGCACTCTTGAGCAAGCTCTTAACCAACTGAGCCACTCAGCCAGCCTCTTAACATGTTTTTATAAGTCTTTAAAGAAGGAGCTCCTTTTGGAGTCTAGACTTAAGCCTCTCTCCTCCCCCAGTCCTTCCACCCAATCTAATGGATATAGGAAACGAACCTGGATTTATACTAAATAATTGTTTAAACTACCTGTAACCATAAACCTTATTTCTTCTAATCTTGATCTGGTTCCCTTGAAAAGATAGTAGCTATATGTGAAAATTTACATACAGGGTTTTCAGATGTCTGGTTCCAGCTTGACAATTTTGTTTTTGTGTATTCCTGTCATATATATGCTGACTCTAAGC